TCTTTGGCACTTTGCAGGTAACCGTTAAAATGTATAAGCGTGGATCTAACAGCTGGCTGGGGAAATCCCTGAATGCCACCACCACCATCCCCTCCAACACCTCTGTGATCTTCAGGATCAGCGGCGAAGAATCAGATGCTAAAATCCCAGCAAACGCCATTCACAGCATCACGCTCAGCATATGACTGTGTGGAGATAATACAAACAGGATCGCCATCGCAACATGGCACTGAAGAAGCAAGGGGAAGAAAAATTGCTTACTTGTGTGTAGCATTTTTTAAAAACCAAGTGCATTTTAACATGCAGTGTTTGTACTTTGCAATATTGTAGGACTTCCAGATGTTTTTATGTGCGCATTTATTGGGGGAAAAAAGGAAAAAGAAAAAAGGTCCCATTTGCCAATTTCCCTGATTCTCCTTAGTGACAATATTATGTTAATGTAGATGGTTTCAGACAATTAGCACGATTAGCTTTCTCTTGTTTTGAATTTCTAGAGCTGGCCCACACTTTACACTAGCCATTAATTAATCATTATGCAAGCTGATTGTGTCACACCGATTTAGGACTGAAGTGTTTAATGTGTTAATTGTGGCGGTTAAAAACCGGTGGCCTCTGGCACGTCGAGGGCCGAGGATGTAACTGCCTCTGTGGGTTTAATGGGAAGTTATTTACGGTCTGTTTAGACAGTGGAACTGTAAGGTGCTTTATTAATATGCTCCACCGCACGGAGGAGATGATAACTATTCAAGAGCATACGGGCACAGCAACCAGCACCATTCATAACTGTGTCTGAGTCACTTTCCATCAGTTGCCCAGGCTTCCACAGCTGCGCTAACAGCTAGCAATTGCATTTACTGGGCCTGGCAGTGGTCATAATGAAGTTATTCCCAACAGGATATCAGTGCCTTTAGCTAACAGCTCTCTCTGTTGATGGTATCTTTCTGTATGGCATGTCTACCTGAAACATCATTACACTGTACTCAAGCTACTCACTTTTTCAAATGTCTGTTTACTGGTTTACCTGAGGGGCAGATCATCTGTAGTTTTAAAGCCATCATTGAGTTGTTTACATTGGTTGCTGCACATTTTTGAGACTGGTTGTTTTGTGGTTTGAGTCAACATTGCTTGAAATTATAGGTGTTTTCATGAATTTATTGCCTATACATATTTAAGCCTACATAGTCCTCAGGAACTGTTTTCTCCAAAGCACTTGACAAACAATATTTGCAATATCAGATGGTCTGGTATGGGAAGGACTTCAAGGAAATTACTATGTGGATATCTGATAAGTGGTGGGTGCATGTACGTTTTACTGTAATTTCATTATACATTGAACCATGCTTCTCAGTTGATTTATTCAGGCATGTTTGCTTGATTCATTGGTGTGTGGGGTTTTTAGGCCATTGAGTTATCAAGTGTTTTCAAATGTTTGTACCACGTGTTGTTGTAATAAAGAGATGTGATTATTGGTTGGTTCAGTTTGTTATTTACACCATTTTTGGACTGAAGTGGCCTCAACCATCTCAGTCCTATTTTTTTGTTGTTGTTGTTTGTTTGTTTTATTTCTGTAGTGTCGTTATTGAATCATCTTAGGATACAGCAGAATAACAGGAATGGTTTGGAATCAGCCAATGCAGCTCTATCTCTGTAGTTCTTAGATGTTATGCTGCAGCATTTTGGTTTAAATTCTGGTGTTTTAGAGTCCAAACTATTGTAATGTTCTTAATCATCCAAAAGTAACAAATGCATATTAGTGTCTCATAACAATTATACACTCCACAGCCACTTTTTTGGGGGTATCTGATCAACTTGGCTAAGAGTTGTCCACCAATTTGAATGTCAGTGTATCAATCACTGACAGCTCTAGTCTGCATGCCAAAGTGTCCTTGGGCAAGATACTGAACCCCAAGTTGCCCCCAGTGCATTTATTGACTGTATGTGCGTGTGAATGCTAGAATGCACTTACACATAGGTACAACTCCTGCATTAATTTTTAGTGGAAAATGCTTTGAGTATACTGAGAAGCAAGGTGCCAAATCTAATAAGCCAATCACGTGGTAACCACTCTATTCATGTAACTAGGACAACCTGCTGAAGTTCAATCGAGCATTGGAAAAAGTTTTGTTCACGCCACATGTCAGAGAATGGACTACTTCGAGGCAACAGTCAACTCAAATAACCACTCATTACAACAACAAGGCATGCAGAGGACACTCTCTGAACACTCTGAACACAAAACACACTGAACTTTGTATCAGATGAGCTACCACAGCACACCAGGTGCTACTTTTGTCAGCTAAAAACAGGAAACCGAAGCTACAAATCACAATTGCTCACCAAAATTGGATTTTTGCTTTGGTATAAACAACACAGATGGCTCACGGGTCCATCCTGCCTTGTATCGAAGCTATGCTGCCGCTCATATACAATTGCTCATATAATTGTTTAATGAAGTCTTCTTGGCCCACTTTGGCTCCTTCAGTACAAATTGTGCATTTTTTAAATGCTACAGCCTACTTATCTTCTAATTGTTGCCTCCAGAAGATTAATGCACCATATCATAAAGCTCAAAATATTTCAAAGTGGTTTCTTGAAGATGATGATGAATTCACTGTTCTCAGATGACAGTTACCTGATCTCTTAAACCAAATGCTCCAGATACAATTACTTCAATTATGTCTGAATTTAGAATCATAGCTTGTTCAGACCTTTGTGTGCTCAAGATACCTTTGAGGTGTGACATTTGATCAGGACTCGGATAAACATAAAAAACACAGTGTTTTTTAATAACATTTTAATAACACATTTGTATAGTGAAAATTTGGGTTTTTATATTTTTGTTCATATTATATTCATGTTCTGTTTCCTTTAACGACAATATGTTTCACTGTCTGTATATAATTGTGTGATAAATGGGTGTCATGGGCAGGATTAAGATAGGAAGACAAATGAAACTGTTTTTCAAATATTTAAGAAGTAAAAGTGATGTTTGCTGAAAGACTCGAATAAAAAGTAGGGTATTTAGGTAGATGTTTTTACTTATATTTAATATTGTACCTAATTGCTTCCCTAAAGCTATAAGGTATCTGTAATAGTGAACCCCATATACAAAGTCATTTGTCACTACTGGGCCACAAGGTTTCTTCAAAGCCTTATTAGTGAGATGGAGGGCATCCATCAACAGCTTACCCTGCTCTTTGAAAGCATGCAGCATGTCTCCAGCACAGTAAAAGACTGGAGATTAGGAATGGATGGCTGGCCACAGGGACAAAGAAAAGTCTGTTGGACAGCGCTGTGGTGACTGGGAGGGGAGGCTGAGCGGAAATGGACATGGAGATCAGACCAGAACATAGTGTGACAATGTAACAAGGTAAACTGATCCAGGCTGTAATTCCTCTAAAAAACGGAATCAATGAGGGTTCTGTTAAAATGGAAATTCTCCAGGATATCGAGTTTAGGTGAATCTGGAAGTACATAATCAGCTGTAAATTTACAGCTGTCCCTTGCTGTAGCTGTACAAATATGTCTGGTAACCTGCAGATGGGTGTTCTGAACATCTCATTGAACCAGAACATTCATGAATTGAACCTATCGTTTGAACCTACAGGTGTCCAACTTTGACCTCTCGTCATTCAATATGGTCCCAAGGGTGGCCAGGTCAGGTAGCTGGTTTGACATTTTCTTTGTACAAGACATGGAACTCTTGCAACTTAGAGATGAAGGCCTAATCCCTCTCAAATAACAGCAAACGAGCAACTGTCTCAGCCGCAACCATTGTGTTTCTACACCACAGTAACTGTACTCACATAGGTCAGTCGGTACTTGAGGACTTAACTGTTTTTACTCTCCAAAATGTTTGCTGCACTCCCTTTCACCTGCAGTTTCCCACTAGAATATCAGCACTGCGCAAATCCAACAAACAGTTTGACCCCATTATGTGAGCGGCACATCTTCTGTAATGTTGCTGCTTCAGCTCGACTAGCTCAAAGGTTCTGATCAGACCCAGGTCAATGCACTCTTTTTAACTGTAATATTTTCTGAGATGCAAGCCTGTTTCATCTGTAGAGGGCCCTAGAGATGAAATTGTGTTGTACTCAGAGCCTAACCCTACGTGATAACCCTGTGGTTTACTGTAAGTGGGGAAATGGGTAGGAATAACTCCTGGCTCTGGTTGTGCCCTAACATAAACACTCTGAACATCAAAATGCCTGAAATTGCCAGTGAATTTGTATTCAGCGGTTAACAATTCTCGACTTTACTCTGCATCTCTTATCTACCTGTAATTACAGCGGCAATTTTGGTCTCGGTTTTGACACTTTAATGTATCCTGAACTCAAAAAAACTGGCAAAATCTTACACAATCACCAGAACAGGTCAGGTCACCCAAATTTGAAAATGCTGTTTTTCTTACTTAAATCTGGCATGTGTCCATTTTTGAGTTATCAGCCACATGGAATTTGGCTAAATTCTGTTCATGGAAAGGTGTTATGAAAATGGGTGGGGCGGGGGAATAAATCCATATATTTTGAGAAATTTCACAAAAACAAAACAGATCAGAAAACCTACAAATATTAATCGAATTATTGCAAAAGCATCACCAATGTGTGAAATGGACAAACATTACAGAGTACTGTGTGCTAGTGCAGTCGCACATTGAAAGACCCTCCAAAATTAGAAAGAAACCATTAGACAGCGCTCTATGATGAAGTACTTAAAAGTGAAAGTGGGAAGGAAAAACTCACTGTTGGTACTTTCGTATTCCAGATTTTATGGTCATGGATCTTACAGACCAAAAAGCTTACATCCATCCATAAACTCACGCAACAAGCGCAGCTAAAAATCAATGGATACATATTTTACTCTCCAGTAAACATATTTCACTCTTTATACTAAAGAAATAATGGGGCCAGGATTTGTGAAGATGTAGAAAAATGAATAAGGAACAAAATTCTGCTTCCCAAGATACTGAACC